GTGATAAACGGTTTGGAGGACTGGGAAGAAAAACGCACTTCAGTTTAAACACAGTGATCAAGTATACATACAGTCTTCACAGGTGCAGCGATGGGTTCAAAGCCCAATAAACAGCCTCGTGAAGAGCAGGCCAGTATGGCCAAACATCCACCGTTTGATGCAGTTCCTGCGCTCAGCGACGGCGTGTGGGTTAGAGAAGAGGCCCGGGTGCAAAGGCTGCAGCAGCTAAACTAAAAAAAAAAAAAAAGGCGGCGCTCCTTCCTGTCCGACTTGTCCGGCGAAAGCCCAAACGGGAAGATTTAAGCGGCGGTTGACTTTTGATTCCTCGACTTTTTCCCCCTCACCCGGCCGGTTCTTATCCCACAGGCCGCCGCTGCCTACACTTAGTTACCAGTAGAGAACCAGCTCACTCTGAATATCAGTTAAACGTCTCAGTATCAGCAGCAGTCTCAAGGCGGGACACCTCCCCCTGGGGTTAGAGCAGCATCTGAAGGAGCATAAAAACTCTCCCATAGAGCAAATGAGCAAATGGGCAGCCCGTCGTCGGCTTCTTTATACCTATTGGAAAAGAAACGGAGGGGAAAACGTGAGAAAACGGTTTCGGCCGCCGAGGTTCCGCGAGCCTACCGAGATACGAGCGGGTCTTACCTCAGTTGCAATTATACATTCATCCTTCTCCTCCGACATCACAAACACAGATTTGTACTTGGTGTCCGCACATGCAGACAGTTCTGGGGCTTTGTTTTCTGACGCGTCGCTTTGGGAGAGAAGAAAACGACAGTGGGTGTCATTGCCAGGACTTCCCTTGAAACCCGAAGGGGGGTAAGAAATGTATATCTTTAATAGGCCGGCTCTTACCATTTTAAGCGTTTGCTACGTTTCTCCTCAAACTCGAAGGAGTCCTGTGGTTGGCACTTGTCCTGGCAGGCCGCCTCCAGCATGGCCTCTTTGGCCGCCTGCTCGTAGTTGGCCTCGTGCACGAGGTTGTAGTCGGCGGGGGGTGGGCGGCTCTTGTATCCGCTCCTACCCGGGGAGGAGCCCTCGTCGGGGTCGCCGCCACCACTACCAGCGCAGAAGTCCATCTTCTTGTTGATGTTTTTGGGGGCGGGCGTGGGCCCGGCGGCCGGGTCCCTGTCGCCGCGCTGGCGGTTGTTGGTCAGGTTGTTGATGGTCTCCCCCTCCCCGCCGGCCTCCGCCTGCTCCTCCAGCCGGACCTTGGAGCGGACGAAGCCCACCAGCACGGCGCAGCCGGCCAGCAGCAGCAGCACCAGCGCCACGCCCGAGCCGATGGCCATCCAGGGCACCTCGGAGCCCCGGATGGCGGCGTGCTCCGGCAGCAGGAACTGGCAGTTGCGGCCGCCGTAGCCCGGCACGCAGGCGCACACGTAGCGGCCGTTCCGCTCGTGGCAGGTGGCGCCGTTGTGGCAGGGGTTGTGCTCGCAGCGGCCGATGGGGGAGCTGCAGTTGCGGCCGGTGTAGCCCGGTGGGCAGGCGCAGGCGTAGCCGTCGGGGCCCTCCGTGCACGTGGCGCCGTTCTGGCAGGGGTAGCCCGAGCACTCGTCCCCGGAGTGGTCGCAGTTCATGCCCGTGAAGCCCTCGGGGCACTGGCACAAGTACGAGTTGACCAGATCCACGCAGCGCGCCCCTGGAAAGGGAAACGAGGCCTCGTTAGACACCGTGATAAAAGGCCCGCAGGCGGGTGAGTACATCTGGCTGTGGACTGTAGGAAGCCAAGGATGGATATCCAAGTCGGCCATTTTGATTACTTTACCAATAGGAAGATCCGGGGGAATAAAATCGTAATTGCTTCATGGCAATATAGACATTAATTTAAAAATAGTGACATTTATCTTGCAAACACTTAATTAAATTCTATACATAATGTTAGCTTAAAATAAAGTATGTTAAATAGGTTTGTACAATAAGTCCAAACAAATTTAACCAAAAAATATTTATTTCCTCACAATTTTGAAGGGTGGAGGGTTAGGATTAGGGTTATGTTTAGGGTCAGGGTTAGGGTGCAGAGTAAGGGTAAGGTTTAGGGTCAGGGTTAGGGTGGAGAGTTAGGTTTAGGGTCAGGGTTAGGGTGCAGAGTAAGGGTAAGGTTTAGGGTCAGGGTTAGGGTGGAGAGTTTAGGGTTAGGTTTAGGGTAAGGGTTAGGGTGGAGAGTTAGGGTTAGGGTTAGGTTTAGGGTCAGGGTTGGGGTGGAGGGTTAGGTTGGAGGATTAGGGTTAGGTTTAGGGCCAAGCTTATGGTCATGGTTAGGGTTGGGGTTAGGACATTGTTTTCCGATTTCGTATAGACAATAAAGTTCCGTTTCTAGTTTCGCTGCTAGTCATGTGACCTAACCAAAATGGCCGAATTGGATATGTGAGCATTGGATATCCGACCACGGCTCCTACAGGCTGCAGCCAGAGGCTGCTCCCGGCGGGAGCTGCGTGTTGGTGGTGGTGTGGGGGGGGGGTCCTACCGTTGGAGCAGGGGCTGGAGGTGCAGTGGTCGATCTTCTTCTCGCAGTTGAAGCCGGCGTAGCCCGTGGGGCACTGGCAGAAGTAGCCGCCGTCGGGGTTGTCGGCGCAGCGGCCGCCGTTGGAGCAGGGCCCATCGGCGCACGTCATGGCGCTCAGCTCGCAGTTGTTGCCGTAGAAACCGTGGGGGCACGTGCAGGTGTAGGTGTTTTCTTGATCCTGCGACGAGAAAAGGGAAGAAAAACGCAACCGGAGATCAAACAGGTGCGAAACGCCGGCGGGATTACCGTGCCCCCCTGTCCCGCACCCCCCATCCCCGCGCCCCCCCCCCCCCCCGCCCCCCCCCCCCCCCCCTCCCCGCCCCGGCGCTCACCGTGCAGCTCCCCCCGTTTCGGCAGGGGCTTCCGGCACATCCGCTGACCTTGATCTCGCAGCTGGCCCCCGAAAAGCCCGGCCTGCAGGAACAGGTGTAGCTGCCCTGACCCGTGTTGCTACAAGTGGCTCCATTCATGCAGGGCTTGTGGTGGGTGCAGTAGTTGAGGTCTGTGGGGGAGGAGGAGGGAGGGGGGGGGACAGGGACGCAGCAGAACATGTGGATTAGCCACAGCACAACACATGGCGGGAGCGCGGCAGCCGCCACAGGATGCCTTTTGTCCTCCGGCACATCTCCGCTTCCAGTGTTTTTTATTTGGGGGGACAGGAAAGGGGGGGGGGGGGGGGGGCGTATGGCCTGTGTAGTTCATCTCCATACATTAGGGGCTTTGTTTCACTGGCCTGATGTTACTGCTTTTGCCAGCATGTGGAAATGACCCCCCCTCCCCATTACACATACACAGTTTTTGTTTTTTTGTACATTTGAAACCTTATCGAAAACCTCGTTTCACCCTGTTTTTTCTACCTATTCCCAGCACCTAGCTCCCCTCACCTTGGTTGCAGAAGAGCCCCCCCCAGCCCTCCTGGCAGTTGCACTGCCAGGGCTGCTGGCAGGTCCCGTGGAGGCAGCCCGGGTAGCGGATGCACTCGTCGCAGTAGCGGCCTTTGAATCCCACCCTGCACCTGTTGTCCAATCAGGAAGAGAGACGGTGAGTCCACACGCTTTGCCTCACATTGACTCATTCACCCCCCCTCCCACACAAGCCCCCGGCCACAACTTACTTGCACTCTCCTGGTTTCTCACAGAAGCCATGTTCCTCGTCGCACCCCGGCAGACAGATCGCTGTTTAGGGGGAGAGAGAGAGAGAGAAGAAAGTGGCTTTTTAGAAAGTCTGAAGCAGGAATGTGTGATTTTTAGCTCTGCGTTTTAACCCCTCGAAAGCTTAAATCCCGACAAACTTCCTAAACAAGAATGAAAAAAAGTTCCTCCTCAATTCTGTCGCCGTCACCCCAAACTCTTTATCCTTTATCTCCATGCCAGAATTTTCGGGGAAACATGGTGGAGGGACAAAGGAGAAGGGAGTGTGTGAATGTGCGCCTCAAAGTGCACACACAGACCCCCTCGGCCCACCCCACCACCCCCCTTTTTTCTTCTTTTGCTGCGGGTCAAAACTCTTTTATTCATTCTGTGTGCATACATATACTCTCTCTCTCTCTCTCCCTCCCTCACACACACACACACACACTCCCCTTAATGTCTCGGATTGGGGCAGATAAGAGTGGACAGCTGGCGAATGTGTTGCCAGTGTGCGACAGCTGCTCCATTGTCTCCTCTCTGCCGGCAGCTGCCCACTTCAAACAATACCTCCCCCGCCTCGGCCAATCGGCGCCCGTCCCACTCCGGGAGCGGCCAATCGGAAGGTAGCATGTAAATTTATGGCACGCGTGAGATTATTCCCCAAAACTTTCCTTAGAATAAATCAAGTGGTCGTGTGTGAGAGAGTATTCGAGGGGGTGGGGGGGAAAGAAAGGGGGGGGGGGGGTGTTTACGCACAAGTTCCCTTCTAACGGCACTTGGAGGATGTGACCAACAGGCCGAATCTAACCCCTAAAGTTAACTTTGTGAAATGCTGTTAACCACGAGTCAAACTAAGCATCCCTGATAAGATTTAAAAGCATCCGTATCAGACCTATTTTTTTTTAAATAAACCATTTTCCTGACCAAATGCGCGCGTATTAATGCTCCTTTCAGCAGTTAATGCGCAAAGTAAAACAGCAGGAAGACTTTTTTGGGGGGGTACTCACGCTCCGTGCAGTACTGTCCCTTCCACCCGGCGTCGCACACGATCTCCCCGCGCTCGCCGCAGGTGAAGTGGCCGAAGGCGTCGTCTCTGGGCCGGCAGAAGACCGAGCAGCCGTCGCCGTAGTAGTGCTCGTCGCACACGAACCGGTAGGCGTACTTGAGCTCGGTCCTCCCGGCCGTGTGCAGATCCTGGGACCACTCTTCCCCCACGGTCAAGTGCCTCTGCGTGGTCATGGTGCTGATGACCCGCTCCGGGTTCTCTGCAAAGCGCACGATTAGGGCGAAAAAAAAGAAAGATGGGTGAGATGGGAACGCGCAAATTTAAGAGAACGTCAAAAAACAAGAAAGAAAACGGGGCTTTTATTCCCCTACCTGTAGAGAGGTCGTCTTTGGAATCGGTGTGTAACGCTTCAATGATCAGCGAGAAGGTCCCCTGGGAACACAAATGGCTTCGTGAGACAGGTGGCCGGCGGAGACGCGGAGATGGTATCAAGTGAGGGCCCCGAGGGCGATTGTGCCACGCTCTCGCTGGGGCTGAATGTGAATTGTTTTCAACCCGATACGGCCGAAACCGAACACCCCGCCGGCTTTGTGCGCCGTTCCGCCCTCAGCGGCGGCCGCGAAAACGCACCGCTGCGCATTTTACGCACGAACTTCACATCCGAGCGCAAATGGCGCCAATTCGCCCCCCCCTGAAGTGGAGCTAGTGAAACTCAAAAGAGCGAGAGAGAAAGAGAGAGAGGGAGAGGGACAGAGAGAGAGGCTGTATTTACCGGCCACGTGAAGCCAAAGTTAATCCGGATGGGGTTGGAGAAGGCGCTCTCCGGGATGACGTCGGGGACCTGGAACGAGTTGGAGCCCAGGACGGGGGTCACGGCGCCGCCGTAGGTGCAGGGGGGCTCCGGGGAGGCGTTGGGCTGATAGTGCTTCAGGCAGATCCTGAAGAAGGTCTTACATTCGCACTGCTGCTGGAAAGACGACGCCAGGCCCCCCTTGCAGCAGTTTTTGTTGCCCTGCACCCCCTTCTTGTTGAGAAACTCCTGCAGCCTGAGTTCGAAAACTCCCGAACAGAAGCCCTGGGAATAAAAAAAAAAGGAGCCGTTACCCCCGGCCGCCGGTGCGGAGTGAGGTGGATGCTGTTATGTGAGGGGGGTCTGGGGGAAGCAGAAAATACGGGAGAAGCTTACCTGGCACAGCAGCATTGACATGACCGCGAGGGTCAGCAGGATGACGCGCCCCATATTCAATAAATACATCATAAATAAGAAATAAATAGAGTAGAAAAAGTCTCGGGACTCGGCTCGTTGTCAGGGTGCCTCCTCCTGTTCAATCCCACTGAAAATGAAGCATCGAGCTCCTCTCCGTCTCGCCTCACAGGTTTTTTTTTTTTGTTTTTTTCCTCAACAAGTGATTTTTCGGCCGAGAACCACGCTGCTTTGATTCATGTCCCGCGGAACAAAGGCGGATAATTCCCCAAACCTTTCCACACTCGAGTCCCCGGGAAGATGTTAGAGTTGAGGCAGGTGGTTTTTAAAAAAAGAAGAAGAAGCAGAAAAGTCCTCCAGCTTCGTTACGGCGCATTAATCCCGTGCGTAAAGACGATGAATGGATGGTAGAAAAGGGGGGGGGGGGGGGGGGGGGTTTTCGTGTTTTTTAGGGAAGGGGAGTGCCGGTCTGGGGGTTTTTTTTTTTTTTTTTTTTTGTGTCAAGGTCTTGGTCTAACCCAATGACAGGTTTTGTCACTGGTCCAACATGCTTCCCTCCACCTCCTGAAGTCTCTCCTCGCTGCGAACTGTGGCTTCTCTGCCCCCAAGGTGGCCCGCGGCCGCTTATATACGGGGCGACGCATGCTATGGTAATGACATGCAAATGGGGGGGCCCCTCCTCCCGGAGCCTCGCTGTCCCCCCCCCCCAAAAAAAAACTGGCCGGGGCTCCTCACAATGGGCTCCCGTGCCAGAGTCCTCCTTAGCCTCCCAGTTCTAGTTAGCCACCGCGGCCACATTATTAACGCAGCTCTGGGGAGGAATGCGAGCCCCTGGGTCAGCCATCAGTACACCATTAGTTCTCTAAAAATAAAAATAAAACACTGAGCAGATTCTCCAAACGAGCCGAATTAATCCTGAAAGGGAACTTTGAATAAAATGTGTGAAAGTGGACTTTGTTTGAGAAGATTGGAACGTTTAAGGGGGAAAAAATAGTTTTAAACGAAGAAAATGGCTGAACTCTGAATTGTGGAGGTTGTTGTGACCTGGAGGGGGGGGCGTGGGGGGTGGGGGGGTATGCTGTTAGCAGCACGTGGCTCCATCCAGCTGTCGCCCCTGGGCAAACATCTGTCTTCCTCCTCAGGTGTTTTTTTTGGAGAGACGTGATTCCAACAATCCGCCTCACAAATGTTTCCTGAATGTTTCCTGATCGAACCCTGACTCAGTTAATTGTTCCTCAGCCCCCCCCCTCATCCTCCTCCTCCTCCTCCCCCCCTTTTTCTCTTCCTCCTTGCCTCTTTTTCTAAGGTCTACATTTTTGGTATTTCTGGCTGTGGGAAGAATTTTTTGGGGGGCTTTGAAAAGACTCAAAAGACCAAAGAAGACATTCCTTGGCAGAGCCGCGGGATGAGGTAAACGACTGGAGGGGCCGGACTTTTTGCTGTCCCAGTTTGTTCTCCTCTTCTTCTCTTTTGGGCCGAAATGGGGGGGGGGGGGGGGGGGGGAGAAAAAAAGGAGGAAAAAAAGGAACGCGTGTTTGCTCGAGCGTCAGTGCTCGTGTGTGCGCGCGCGCCACGGTCGCTCGCGTGGCCAACATGAGGGGAAAACTTTTGTTTGAGTATGTGTTGAAAGAGTAAGTCGTGTGTGTGTGCGCGCGCGTGTGTGTGTGTGTGCGCGCGCCCTCCCCCCCCCCCCCCCCCCCCC